ACACACTTACTGCTTTCATGAGTGGCTTTACAAGTCATGATCCAAAATACAGTGAATGCTGATGCTGGGTGAAATCCAGTGGAAAGGCAGCCTTGTAAAAACATTCTGGTGTGTTCTCATCCTTTGTATTCACTGGATCTGGCACCATGAGACTTCTGGCTCCTCCCAAAAGTCAAAATGATCATGAAAGGTAAATATTTTGAACTTTGAGGGAGCCATACAGCACAACAAAAAAACACTCATGAAAGAGGACTTTCAGGACTGCTTCAGAAAGGGACAAGAACTATGGGATGGATGTGTGTTTGAAGTAAGGGGAATATTTTGAGAGGGATTTGAAAATTTAAACTGCCACGGTATCTGATGATCACACCTCATAACACAAGTAATGGAATGTAGGTTTAACAATACATAGACAGAAATTAATGGTCTTAAATAATGAAAAGAAAGATTTAGAATCAATATCTAAGAAGAAATAATAAATAAGTTTGAACCTTAAGAAACTAGAAAAAGATGAGGTAAAGAAAACAGAGTCATGGGAATAATAAAAGGCCACAGCAGAAACCAATACAAAGAAAACAATAAAAAATAAAACTGAAAAAGTCAACAGAACCTAGATTTCTTTCTTTCTTTCTTTCTTTTTTTTTTTTTTTGGTACCGGGGATCGAACTCGGGTCCTTGCTCTGAGCAGCAGGCGGCGAAACCACTGAGCTAAATCCCCGGCAGAACCTAGATTTTTTGATCTTTGAAAAGATATAAAAAACTGATAAAATTTTAGCAAGATAATTATGGAAAAAGGAGAGAGAATAGTAAAGTTACCAGAAATAGGAATGAAAGAGAATACTAACAATTTTACAATGTACATGAGATGGCCAAATTCTTACACAGAAGTGATAAAAGCTGATTCAAGAAGAAATACAAAATTTGAATAGATCTACATAAAGTAAAAGCATTAAATTATTTAATTAAAATCCCCAAACTAAAAAAAAAAAAGAAAGATAAAAACAAAAACTTAGGCCTACATGGCTTTACCAGTAAATTCTATCAACATTTAAGGAATTAATAATATCAATCCAAAATAGGCCTTTTCAAATGGAAAATAAAAGGGAACACTTTCCATTTCATTTTACCCTGATGCCAAGATTTAGATAACGATATCACAAGAAAACTGTAGATCAATACTTTTCATGAATATAAATGCTAAAATTCTTAAGAGGAAGTTGGATTTAGTAATGTATAAAATGAATTGTACATTATGACTAAGAGGGTTTTTTTCTTTTTATAAGAATGCAGGTTAGCTTAACATCTGAATATCAATTAACGTGATACATTTATTAATAGAATAAAGCAGGGGCCTGAAAATAATACTCCTAGGCCAAGTCTGGAATACTTTTTTGCTTTTATAAATAAAGTTTTATTGGAACATAGTCAAACCTATTCATTTATATACTATTATTGCTTTCATGCTACAAATGCCAAATTGAATGCAACAGAGATCGTATGGCTCACAAAGTAAAAATGTATTTATTATATAGCTATTCCTGAAAAATTTTGATCCCTATAAAGGAGAAATCCATAAGATTATCTCAATAGAAGTAGAAAATTCATTTGATAAAATCAAACAAAGCTATCAATAAACCAAGAATAGATGGAAATTTCCTTAATTTGATGAAAGGCAGCTATAAACCTACAACTAACAAGAAGTTAAAGGTGAATGACTGAATTGTTTCTCACAAAGATTGGGGTCAAGGCAAGGACGTCCACTTTCATGACTTCTACTCAACATTAGACTGGAGGTTTCAGCAGTGCAGTAAGAGAAGAAAATAAGAATACAAAAATCAGCAAGCAACCAAGTAGAAATGAAATTAGGAAAACAATTATATTTGGAGTAGCACCAAAAGAATAAATTACTCAGGAATAAATTTAATGAAAATAATGTAGAACTGTACACTGAAAATTACCAAACACTGCCAACAATCTAAAAATCTAAATAAATGGAGACATGTCCCACCTTTGCAAATTAGAAATTTAATATGATTAAAATGTCAATTTTCTCGAAATTGATCCATAGATTCAATGCATTTCCTACCTAAATAACAGGAGATTCTTGAAATTGGTAAGATAATCCTAGGGTTTATATTTTAAATTAGAAGGACCAAAATAACCAATGTAGTTTCGAAAAGGACAAAGTTCAAGGACTTATATAACCCAATTTAAAAATTAACCATAAAGCTATAGCAATCAAGACTTTGGTACTGGCATAAGAATAAACATATAGAATGAAGGGACAGCATAGAGAGTTCAGAAATAAACCCCTCAATACACGGTTGACTTTCAACAATTCAAATTGGAAAAAAAAATTTTGAATATAAACTAAAGTCTTGCCCCAAATCAACACTAACTTGACTTCGTCTTTTTTTGTCCAACCTTGCACACACCTATCTCTTTTATTTATACCTTAGTTCGGTGGTTCTCAATGCTGCAGGGACTGATCCTATCAGAGCATTTGCTAGGTTCAAACTATTTTCATAATAAATGAGGCAATATATGTACTTCTGACTCAGTAATTCATGAGTACACCACGAAGTTTTACAGAGCCTACAGGACACGTGAGTCACAGATTGAATGCAGAAGCAGATATGAGAATCCAGCTGGTTTTTTTCAAACCAAACATTAGCTTCATAATGCAGCTCTTCTAATTATGCCAATTTTATCATTTTAGTACTGAGGATATAACTCTGGAGGAGGGGTGTTGTACCATTTAGCTACATGCCTGGCCCTTCTTTATTTTATTTTTTAATTTTTGAGACAGGATCTTGTAAGCTGCCCAGGGTTACCCTTAAATTTGTGATCCTCCCACCTCAGCCTCCTGAGTAGCATGAGATTACAGTCTTATGTCACCAAACCCCACAAACACAATATTTTCTCCCTTTAAAATGTGTTAACACATAATGGGTTTATTATTATATACATATATATATATATATATATTTTTTTTTGGTGAAAATGGCGAAGTCATTTTTATTTCAGTACTTGACAAATATATTTTTTATTATATTTTAAATGAGTTGCTGGGTAAATCTTTTTAAAATTTCAGTTATTTATGATACATTAAGTATTGATAGATAAAACACAAACACTAAAGCTCTTTGGGATCTTCAATGGTTTTTATGGGTGTAAAGGGTTCCTGAGATTAAAAACTTTGTGAACAACTGTCCTTGTCTACCTGCTAAGCCTGACTTTCTATTCACCACACTTGACAACAGAGGATTAGAAGGATGATTGGATTTGGTTTTCGCTCCATTTCAAGATAACTCTATAGCTCTTAGAATGTCATTTAGAAATATAACAAATGTTAATACAGGATCTGTCTTTTTCTTGGTGATATATGGCAGAAATAAATACAATTGTAGTAAAATGAAATGCATGAACTTGGAGAAGACTTGTAATAGTGCCCAGTATAAGACAAAGCCTGTAGTATAGGAAGTGACAAGTACTATTTTATTTGACTATGACATTCTTTTTCATTCAGCAAGTATTAACTGAATGTTTACTGTGTGCTAAGCTTCATGGTTGGCACTGGGAATTCAATGATGAACAAAATACAAGAAGTTCTGCCCTAGGTTAGTTTACAGTCAAGTAGAATACTCATATATAGAAATATGGAATTAAAACTGTGGTAATCGCTTCTCTTCATCACTTCTCTGATGCTGGGACAAAATACCCAGCACTCACAACTTAAGGAACAAAAGGTTTATATTGGCTCAGAGGTTTTAGATGATTCAGTTTATAGTCGGCTGGCTGCAAGACAGAAATGGCATGGTGGGAGAGTCTGGTGAAAGGAAAGCTGTGGACATCATCGTGGCCTAAAAGGAGAGAGAGAAGGGACCAGCCAGGGAGGGAGATACACCCTTCCTAGTCCCATCCCCAACCACTGCCTCTTCTAACCAGACCCCACCTTCTCGGCACATTCAGTTCTGAACTTTTCCGTGAATTACACCCGAGAAGTACAGTACCCCCATGATCCAATCACCTTCACCTCTGAACTCATGAGCCTTTGGGGATACATTCTAGATCTAAACCATAATAGCAATTTAAACAGTGATGGAGGGATGAGTACATAAGGGATATTCATCATGATTTGCAGAAATAGAGAAGGTTTCTCTCAAGTTCCGGGTACTGCAGTTTCAAAAATGAGCAGGGATTGAGGAGACACAAATAGGAGTCTGAACATGTGGTAAGCAGGAATCATATGGGAGCCAATGTGGCTAAAGTACACAGGGAAAATTCATAGTGTGATGAATACTAAAGAGCCCAAGCCAGGGGATTCACAAGTCTTGCCAAGGATTTTAGATCTTTATCACATGGTTAGTGGAGAGTCATGGATACAGGAAATGGTGTGCCAAGACTAGGATTTTATTTCTAAAAGATTACTGGTAGTAGGAGTGTTAGTGTAACAAGGACAAAAAGCAAGGAGACAGGACGGTGATGGCAGGTTCCAGGTGAAAGATGATGAAAGCTTGGACATAGAAATGGCGGTGAAGCCCCAAAGAAATGGATGAATTTGGGATACATTTTGCAAGTAGGGCCTATAAGACCTGGTGATTAAAGATTAACTGGCACAGTAATTCACTGACCAGGTCAAATACCCTTCCTAGATCAACTAATGAAGTTATTGAAAAGTTGGAAAATCTCCCCCACTCTTTGACAATGATCCAAAACGCCCGGGTGAGGATCAGAGCCATTCGTGTATGCTGGACTCGCTCTTGTGTACAGGCCTCCTCGCAAAGCACACGCACAAGGCCGTTTCCCGGCCCCCACAAGAAACGTGTGACATTATCCCTAGAGGTCAGTGGTGCAGAACAGCACTGGTTCCTGGGCAACGCCATTGTTGGCTCTCCGGATGGCGGAAGGGTAACTAAGGACAACTGCTGGGAGAGAACTCCGGAAGAACGGGACACTCGGGGAAAATGGGGAACACGTGCTGTTCCCCCGGCTATCGCTGGTGATTCGAGGCTTCAGCTCTAGGCGAGAGAGGAGGCCGGGAAGAGCCGAAAAACGCGCCCATGATTGGCTGGCCAGAGGCACTGAGACCCTCATGATTGGGCCGGCTGAGTCGCAGGGCGCATTTTTGAACCGCGTAGGGTTCTGGGTAACAGAGGCCTCGGAAGGGTCTTAACCGAAAAGGGGAAGGGGGAGGGGGTCGCGAACAAACGGCTGAGCTCACAATCCCGGCCACTACCAGGCTGAAACGTCCCCCTCCCCCTATGGAGACAGCCAGGCCTGAGCCACCGCCTCAGCCACCGCCTCAGCCGCGCCAACTGCCGCGGGCGACGCCTCTGCGCCCTTTGCGCCCCGCTCCACCCTTGCTGCTGGTAGAGGGGATAACCTTTCGGGCAGGGGCCTCCGATCCCTTGCCATCGCTGCCTGCCCCGTTCGCGGCCGCCCTGGCCTCGTCCTGTGGGGAGGCTCCGGCGTCGGGCATACAGCCCAGGACGCGGCGGCTGCTTCAGGTGAAGCCGGAGCAAGTGTTGCTGCTGCCCCAGGGGCCACTACTGTCTCAGGTCCAGGACGAGGGCCCCGCCGCCCCTCCCGCGCAGGCTCAGGCGCGGCTGCTGCAGCTGAGACCCGAGCTGCTGCTGTTGCCACCGCCCATGTCGGAAGGCGCCCACTACAGGCCCAAGCTGCTCCCAGTGCAGCCCCAGGAGCCACAGGTCAAGGCCCAGAAGGCAGAGCTGGGCCCCGGCTTGGACCCGTCGGTGGGACCTCGGAGGGCCGTCGAGGCTGGTCCTCGAACCTCCAGGGCAGCCAAGGTGGACAGCTCCGGGCCGGCCCTCTATAGCCACAGAGGGGATGAGAAGAAGGGCAAGCTGGGGGCAGAGGAGGTCATGAGGGATGCGGCGACGGGCCCCGAGGGCAAAAGTGTGGCCGCTGTCGGGGACAGAGCCATCAAAGCCGAGGATCCTGAAGGACTCCGTGAGGACTGCAGGCAGAGGACGGAGCCTGCGTCCAATGGCCCGGTCCATGGCAACAGCGCCTTTGGGCTGCAACAGCAAGACCTCAGGATCCCTTTGACCCTCCACTCCGTGCCCCCGGGGACCAGGATCCAGTTTCAGGGACCTCCATCTTCAGATCTGATACGGTTGGCCAAGGTCCCCCTGACACCAGTGCCTATTAAAATGCAATCCTTACTGGAACCATCTGTAAAAATTGAAACCAAAGATGTCCCACTCACCGTGCTTCCGTCAGACGCAGGTATGCAGGGGAATCTGGTTTTCAAAACTTCGTCTTTGTTGCCCCATAGCAGACATGTTAACAATTCAGAAGCCTAAAGCAGAAAAATAAAATCAAAGAACTGATTCTTAGTCTGCACAGGTATCCCTTCTGATTGACTTGTACATATTTCAATAAAATGGACTAACACATTCAAGATTTTCACAAGGACAAGTAAGCAATGAGATTTCGATAACTAATGTTTATACACAAATATTCTTGCTAGGCAACACAAAGCCCTCAATTTGTATGTTACAACAATCAACATTGAAATATTCAATACTTTTATGTGTATAAAAAATACAAGGAAAAATGGTGTTTAATAAAAAAGGTTATTAAACAAGGAAGTTTATACCGAGTATAGAGATTATGTTTTTAGAAAATGAACTAACTTTTTCTAGGAGAAAAATCCGTAGTTAAATGTAACATTTTCTATTCTAAAATCTTAAGGACTTAGAAATATTGATTGAAAATGAAGATATTGTAGAATAAGCTAGAATTGTTTTAAAATGACTACAGTTATAACTGTAACAACTACAAGTAAACATGTCTTTCCAATATTTCCAATATATAGTTAGCGAATTTTTTAAGATTTAGTTCAGACAGAAGACTGTCAATAAATGTCTTTGAGAGTTACATTAATATTCAGTTCATAGTTTCATTCACTTCTATGCTTTTTTCTTCACTGATTCTTCTTACCCCTTTAGGTTTTTCCTTCAGCAGTTTTTAGGTGTCTTCATTTTCTAATGGAAATAATGGGATAGCTTTCTTTACACTAAGTATTTTACCTTTTATATATTTAAAGTTTTTTAATAAATCAAGTAACTCTAAGAGAAACTATAAGAAGTTTGTAGATAGTATTTTATATACTACATAGAGATGTAAATTTAGCCAACTTTATTGTAATTTCACCTGGCTCTTTGAATCTCAGTTACTTTTATTATTTTTCTCTATCTCCCAAGACATGGGATTGCTCCTGAGGGCTGACTGACAGGCACTTCACAATACTGAAATATAGCTAATATAGTATTATAATAAATATTTTTGCTTTAAATGACACTTCAAGATCGTGTAAATAAGTCTCTTTAAATATGTAGGTAACACCTAACTTAGTGCTAGGATTATAGTCATGAATAAGTCATAGTTCCTACCCCCTAATGCTAGACTATTTTTAGTGGGAAAATGTTTGCCATTTGTTAGACATATTAATGGAGCTCAGTGAAATAATAAGCTAACCATTTACTATGTCTTCAAAATGATTCCACAGTATCTTCAACAATATTTTCTTTGAGGAAAAGAGTCTTTATAGACTATATATTAGAATGCTGAGTTCAGAGATTATAAGGAATTCTGGGATATTGAAAGTTCTTCGTTATAATGAAGTGTGTTTTCTTTAGATACTTAAATAGTAAGTATAGATGAAGGTGCACTTCACTTTAACATTGTGTGTGTCCCATGAAGTCTCTTAATTTTTGTCTTTTAGGAATACCAGATACTCCCTTCAGTAAGGACAGAAATGGTCATGTGAAGCGACCCATGAATGCATTTATGGTTTGGGCGAGGATCCACCGGCCAGCACTAGCCAAAGCTAACCCGGCCGCCAACAATGCAGAAATCAGTGTCCAGCTTGGGTTAGAGTGGAACAAACTTAGTGAAGAGCAAAAAAAACCTTATTATGATGAAGCACAAAAGATTAAAGAAAAGCACAGAGAGGAATTTCCTGGTAATCAATGAAATGAACAAAGGCTCTTTTATATCTCTTTTAAATTTATTAATAAAGATTGTTAGGATGAGACTGAAAAATAAAAATATGTAATTTTTCCCCTAATCTGCTATGTTCAAGAAAGAGAATAATGGCTAATACTACGGTAATGCTTGAGACCAGGCCTAAGTTTCCTTAAAACCAAGGAGGGGGATATTTGATTTTATACTTACAAATGCAAACCAGAGACATACAGTTTTATTTTATTTTTTATTAAATATATAGATACTATAGATGTAAATTTAAGGAAGGTAAATATCTAGAATTCTAGGGTATAATTTTGCAAATATACTAGAAATATTAAAATCAGGGCAACAGAAAAAAATGTGCAGCAACACTTATGAGAATCCAGGGATTAACACTATGTTCCATTTTAATATCATGATTATCAGAACATAGATTTTTCCCACTATAATATGTAGCTTGAAATGACTGATTCCTGTCCATCAGTAAAGTAATTGAGATTAAGCATAGGAAAATGGATAGTGTATAGCGAACATAACTATGCAAGGTGGGAAGAGAATTTCTGAAATATGAGCAGAGAGGTTTTAGGAAGAAGATCAGAGGTTGCAACTGCAGGGAACCAAAGATTCTTTCTGGCTACAACTGCCAAAACTTCCTTCTTCCAACTTTGGAAGGAAATTGAGTTATTTGATATGATTTTGAAGATAGCCAAATCTGCAAGAGTGACTCTTCCTGAACTAGGCATAAAAATAAGTGACTGGTTATTACTATTACATTGTAAGATATAGACAATTGTATCTTATAGAAAGGAAGCAGGAGGTGATGAATAATGTCTTAGTAGGGTATTGTTTTATAAGTGGAGGAAAAGCATTTGGATTCAACCTAAATGGCTTTGATGTAGATTGTACTCCATATTGAGTGTGTGTCACTGGATTAAGACATTTGACCTTTTAATTATGGGTTACAAAATTGGCCACCAGTTAGTTGCTGTATAGGTATATATCTTACCAGTGGAAGAGTCATTCACATAAGTAGTATCAGAGAGCCGGAAAATCTTTTTTTTTTTTTTTTTGAGCCAGGATCTCTCTATGAAGTTCAAGTTGCCCTTGAACTCACCTTGTAGCCTAGGCTGGCTTTGAACTCTTGGCAATCCTTTTGCCTCAGCCTCCTGAGTGCTGGGATTACAGGTGTTCACCATCATACCTGGTGTGAAAAATCTACTTTAGACAACAACCTACTTTTTAAAAACTTTGAAGTGTTTTGTATTTTAATGCCAAGTTGAGGCTATACATTTATATTAAAAATAGTCTATCTTCTTCTATAGGTTGGGTTTATCAGCCTCGTGCAGGGAAGCGAAAACGCTTCCCGCTAAATGTTTCCAGTGTATTTTCTGGTACCACACAGAATATTATCTCTACAAATTCTACAAAAATTTATCCTTATCATTCACCTACCTACTCTGTGGTAATTCCCAGCCTACAGAACACCGTCACTCATCCAGTTGGTGAGTTGGTTGTATTATAGATTACTTTTTTTAAATAGTGGTGTGAAAAATTTTACCTCTTAAATTGAAATTTAATTTCGTTAGACTTAGAATTTGAGCATCAATATTAAGTGGGAAAATCAAGAAGAGCAAAAGTGAGAACATTAAATAGAAGAAGGGAAATTTTCAGTCAACATCAAAGCACTTATTTTGTCAGAGTAGCAAATCCAGACCTTTTAAGCAAGTCAGGATGAGTCCCTAGATTAGTCAGATAATGCTGGAAATGACTGAGGTAATTCAATAGGAAATAGGAGTGACTTTTTACTCTCAGAATAAAAGAATGGCTTGCTAATGGGGTATGAAGCATCCATCCTATCCTGGAATTTAGTAAATACTGATCATTTTGTCACTGTTATAAAGAAACAATGGAAGTAATCCATTTTCTGCCAAATACTGTTTTGTTCATGCTATTCTCTCTAAATTTCTTCATTATCACTTCTTTACAACATTCCTGTCTTGATTGTAGGAACCCCAAATTAAGTAGCTTGTATCTTAATAGCCTACTGTAGTACTATCATTGGTTTGTTCTTTCAGAAACTATTTTAATCACCTCTTAGGGAGAGCTTTATTCATTTATTACTTGCTATCACTTGTCTTAAAACTACTTAAGATAAATCTTCTTAAAACAGCTCTTTGTAATGTCTATCTCCTCAGAGCCTCCTGAAAATAAAGCCTCTACAAACAGATTTAGATACCTTGAAAATTGAATTATTAGAATCATGCATTTTAAATTTTAAAAAATGTATGATTTTAGCAATCAGAATCAAAGCCACATTCAAGATGTCTAGTCTTAAAAGAAAGAGGGAGAAAGTTAATACTGTAGCCTTGTTTCCCAATGCAGTCAGGGGCTCTTACCCATCACTATTTGGTAGTATTGCCTTTAATCCTGTATTTCAAAGTAGGGTTACTTATGTCTTTACTTACCTTGTTTTTATGCTGATATTTATGACTTTTATTGTCATAATACTCATTCTTTTTATCCCTTTTTCTTGACTTCACTTACATCTGCCTCTCACATGTTTTCTCAGGAATAGATTTATCCATGTTCTTATTAGAGATCTTATACTATTATTAATTTTACACCTTCTGAGAGAAGATATAGGGTGAGTAGAAACTGCAAATCTTTCTTCTGATGTTGATAGGCTTCTTACATCCAGGTTATTGTATTTAAGGAATTATAGGAAGCATTTTAGAACCATACACAGTAGTAACCAAGGATAATATAATGATTATTATTATTTGATGATACTCTTTATTTGTATTAAGAACTAGAGTCAGAAAAAGTTCCTTTCTTGGATCTCAAATGATAAGCAATTATTTTCCCAGATATATGTCTTAATAAGTGATGAGATTTATATGGCATCGTGCTGTTCAGTCTTATGGCTTTGAAATACGTTATTTTAGTTTGCTCTCATCAGCTTGGCGTTATATCACCTAGAAGAGTTAATACCACTTGCAAATTTGGAAATTTCACTACATATTTCATATTCTAAGTCATTTATAAAACCGTTAAATAACAGAATAATTTAGAGAATCACAATTTTAATCTCATCATCTGCAGATGTTAATTTTAGACCTTTTGTTTCTCTCAACTTTAATTCTAAATATAAAGTCATTCTAAAGTCATAGTAATTTTGTTTGTCAAGCATGTTTGTTTTACTTAATTAAAAGAAAAATGCAAGGTATTAAGGTATTGTTTTTCTTTTACAGCGACAATGTATTCTTTTTTCTACCAAGCTTTGTACATTAAAAGGATACTGTATAAACCTGACCAGCTTTTCAGCTATAGAAATAAACTCACCAAGCTAGAGTGCTGAAGTCACCACTTTGACTAGGTAGAAGTTACGTTGACTTTCCAAACATTCTCTGGCAGACCCTATTTTTACTTACTTTAATATTTTCTTAGTTTACCTTTGAATTTCTCTACAGTTCTTAGGTGGAGGCCACCTAAAATCTATTTTTAAATTCATTTTGTCAGTTTGGATTAAAACATCCTGTGAACTTGCCACTATACTGTAATTAATCTGATATTCTGAAATTACTTGCTCTGAAAATTAGAGTTTAGGAAATCCTAAACTCTTTTGTAGTAAGAAGGATTTTATTGAGTTTTAGTTGTGTTTTCAGTTGCCTTTTATATTATAATGACTAAATAATTCCACTGATTTTTTTTTCTTTCTGAAACACAAGATTAAAGTATCTAAAAGTCAATTAGTGCAACTTTGAGGTCTCTCAGACCTGGCGCCTTCAACATTTGGCTTGTTTTCCACATTTGGACAAGAATATAATGGGTTCTCTTTGATTTGTCCAGTTAGTTACAGCACCTTTTCAATTTGGAGGCACACTTTTTTTCTTCTGAGCTTTTACCCTCACGTTATATGTATTTTACGTTTACAACAGCCTTCATTTTTCTATGTTCTTTTTATTCTATTATGCTTATCAGTCTCTTTCCCCTACCCAATATTTGCATTCCAAAAATTGAATAACTCCAGGGTAGAGGTTTTTTTTCGGTATTTTCTCATTAGTCAGGAATTTAAATGTAGAAATGTTGTAATTATTACCATATAATATTTCATATACTAAATTTATGGATTTTTCTAGTAATTTTTCTCCATCATTTGACTTTCATTGAAGCTTTTAATTCATTTTATTATGGGTCTACTAACCCCATTTGCTCTAATAAGGAGTCATTTGTGTTGCACCAAATCTTCCCAGAACATTTTTATCTTATTAAGATATTTAGTCCATTTGAAAACTGAAAGTGTAATTTGGTATTATCTCTGTTTCAGTGAATTTTTGTATCTCAGATGTTTTCTGAGTAAGTTCTAGTGCTACATTTGCATCCCTGTCTGCCTGCCCTCTCCCCTGCCTGATATTTATTAAATACCTCTGCTAGAGAACTTTTTATTTATCAATAAATACTTTAATTCATTTATTTATTCATCTAAAAATAGGTTAGAGACCTGTTCTATGGCAGTCAGAATTTTGTACCTGGGAAACAGTAGTGAACAAAGAAAAAAAGGGTCTCTCATTTATAGTCTAGTTGAGAAAGAAAGACAAGAAAGGTATATAGACAAGAAATTACAATGATTTCCATTTGGTTGTCCTATAAAGGAAATATAGTGGTTTGATATAATGATGCTATGAGGTAAGATGGTTAATGAAGAGCTCTGTTTGAACAGTTCACTAGATTTCCTGAAAAGAAGAACATGCAATGATCTAATTAATGCTTGACCTATGCTATTTGCTTTTATTCCAGGTGAAGCCCCACCTGCCATCCAGCTGCCCCCACCTACAGTCCAGAGCCCAAACCCCATCACACTTTTCCAGCCCAGTGTCTCCAGTAATGCCCAGGTGGCCATCCAGGCTCCAAGTCTGCCACTGTGCCCGGCAATTCCACCTCAGTGCTTTCCTGGGCCTTCCCAAGCCAACACAAATCTGCAGCCTTCTGGACCCAGTCACTCTGTGAAGAGACCCACTCCTGTCCCTCTCGAGAGCAGCAACAGTATTTCAACCAGCGCAAGTACTGTCAATGCCAGATTTGCAGCCCCAACCATTCAACCTCCCAAGGAGTACTCCGGTGTTTCCACATGTCCCAGAAGTGCTCCCATCCCCCAGGCTTCTCCCATTCCACATTCACATGTCTACCACCCACCTCCCCTTGGCCATCCAGCCACACTGTTTGGGATGCCACCACGATTCTCTTTCCATCACCCTTACTTCCTACCTGGACCTCACTACTTCCCATCAAGGTAAATGAATATTTTTTTCTTTTCACCTAAAAATATAGCTAATGGGTTTTTTTTAACTTATGAAAGCATCTCTTTTTACTCAAAAGGAGGAGAAGAATTTATCAGTTCTGTTTGGATTCGAATTTAGAGGCTAAATAGGAGCCAGGCAGTTAACAAAAATGGATGAGGGGAGTGAGGTAACGACTGTGGAAGCCAGAGAGAGTGCATGCACCACCTAATGGGGCAGCTACTACTCAGCAATTGGCAGCTTTCACCACGTTAGAGTATAGGCTCCCATGTTGTCAGACATGATTTTTACAGGAAACAACTAAAAGGGACCTTAAGATCATCTAGTCAAATCCCTTTATTGAATAGAACTGTGCTTCTTAAAATTTAACATGTATATAAATTATGTGGCAACTTGTGAAAATGAAGATCCCTAATTTTTTTTTTTGCTGTAGAATTCTTTTTGTGGTTCTCTTTGTTTTTTAAATTTATATATTAATTGGTACATTTTAAGTATACAATACATTTATATTTATCATTGGGTGCTTGTACCTGAACATGATGTATCTTAGTTCTTATTTTTTTCCCCGTTACCTGTGCACCTTTCACCCCCACCACCCTTCTCTATTTACATAGACTTTGTTTCCTTTTTTTTTTTCTTTCACATAATTTTTCCTTTCCTTTCTTCTCTTTCCCCTTCCCCTCCCGCCACCCCTCCACCTTTGGACCTTTTCCTATTTCAAATTATCAGTTATTCGTTTTAATCATTTTCATCCTTATTTACACTTTCAGTTTCTCACACTAGAGAAACTATTCGGAATTTACACATGTGTGTTCTATTTATTTCACTCAGTATGCATCCATTTAGCTATAAATGACTCTAGTTTCTTGTTCTTTATGGCTGAGTAGTACTCCATTTTATAAAAACCCCACATCTTTATCCAGTTTCCAATTGATGGGCACTTGGGCTGTTTCCAAGCTTTAGCTATTACAAACTGTGCCACGATAAACATAGGTGCACATATATCGCTGTGGTATGATTCTTTTAATTCTTTGGGGAAGATACCCAGTAGGGGAATAACTGGGTCAAATGGGACCTCTAGTCCTAGTTCTTTGAGGTATCTCCATACTGATTTCCACAGTGGTTGCACCAGTCTGCACTCCCACCAACAGTGGAGAAGGTTTCCTTTCTCTCCACACCCCCGCCAGCATTTGTTTTTGGTTGATTTCTTGATAGCAGCCATTCTTTGTGGGGTAGGTGGAATCTCAGTGTTGTTTTCATCTGCATCTCTTGAATGACCAGTGATGTTGAACATATTTTCATATATTTATTTGCTGTTTTTACTTCTTTGAGAAATGTCTGTTCATTTCGGATGCCCATTTTTAAATTGGGTCTTTGAATTTTGGGGGTCTGATTTTCTTCAATTCTTTATATATTCTAGATAGACCTTTGTCTGAGGTACAGCTGCTAAAAATTTCTTCCCAGGTCCGGAGATTTAGCTCAGTGGTTCCGCTGCCTGCCTCACAAGCGCAAGGACTCGAGTTTGATCCCTGGTACCCAAAAAAAAACAAGAACCAATTTTGGGCGGGGATTTAGCTCAGTGGTTTCACCGCCTGCTGCGCAAGCTCAAGGACCAGAGTTCGATCCCCGGTACCAAAAAATTTCTTCCCATATTGTAGATTGTCTCTTAGCTCTGTTGGTTTCTCTTGCAGTGCAGAAGCTTTTTAGTAAGATGAGATCCCAGTTGTTGATTCTTTGTGTTAGCTCCCGTGCTACTGAAGTTTTGTTCATAAAGTCTTTTCCTATGCCAATGTCATTGAGAGTTCTACCTAACTTAGAAGATCCCTAATTTATTAGGTCTGGTGTATAGAAGTTTCTTATCCTGGGATATAATCACCTGGTATTCTGCATTTCTAATAAGTTCCCAAGTAATGTTGATTCTGGTATTTTGGGAACCACATTTGGACTAATAAGGTATAGAGGCAAGCTTTCTGAGAGAGGCTAAATGATTAGTTCAAAATAACACTTCTGTTTAGTGTCCTTTTTACCAAACTAGAAAATTTCACATGTAAATTAACCAATAAAAAGAATTGATTTTTCAGAGGAAAGTATCTAGAGAAAAACAAATTTATGTTACCTCTGGAAGTGATAGAATTTAACTCCCTTGCAAATATTCTGAGTGGTAATGAACTCTTTTTCAGTTATTGTTAAATGTGTAGACAGATGGTTTCCATTGAGATTGGGGTGTTAAATGTTTAACACAAATCAATCTTCTTGTTACTTAGAAAGTAAGAGAAAAAAAAGAAAGTAAGACTAGTCCCCAGTTGGGTATGTATACTGCTCCTCAAAGGAAACAGCTTTTGAGGATAAGACCATTACTGTGTTGCTTCAATTCCTAGTGGGATTTGTTGCTTTAAAATACTTAGCTCAGGAACAGAAGAAAGTGAAAGAGAGGATTTAGAACGGGAGAAAGAATACTTCGTTATTGGAAGTTTGTTTTATTTTTATTTATTTATTTATTTTTCGTATACTCTTTTCATCCTTAGCAGTCTTCAGGAGTGTTTTAGTTCAAGAGGTCAAACTGAAGGGACTCCTAAAGCCAGGGATTGATGTTCTCATCCCCCCTGCTATCTGCCAAGATACAGATTTTAAAGAAATTTCAGAGAATTTTATAAAATATTTCTTAGAAGAAGTGTATCACAATTAAATGAATTAGTAGATTTGGTGATAGTTGGTTTTAGTTAGAACTTTGATATCAATAAGTAGATTGCAGAAATCTTGTTAGATAATTCATTTTATAATATAGAGAAAGGCTTGGGCAGTTTTATAGAAAAAGAGAAAAAGAATCAGTGGGAAAGGGCATGTCCCACCACTTCACTCTAGCTGTTGTTTTTCATAGTTTGTAGACCTATATTTTTTCTTTTTAGTATTTTGAGAGCTAAGAATTTTTACATGTAATTCTCTCAACAATCCTGTGATGTGGGTATGATATTCACTTACTTTTTCAGATAAATTGATCAGATGTTTAATAGCTTTATCAAGGTTACATAATGATAAAGTTAGTAGTCAAATTTAAGTTTGTCTATGAATTTGCCATTCCATATTTATTTTTTCTACTTTAGTAAGACTTCTCAATATAATGACTCCTCTTGATTGGCAGCTGTTCATTGCTAGCAGATAATCATATAGAAAATATTTTCAGTGGTTTTGAATGGAACCTCATGTAGTCAGGTCAATATTTGAGCACACATTATTTCTTTTAATATTAAATAGATTAAATAGTAAGAAATCTATATTCCTTTATGACAAGGTTCATTAGATTTGAGTATTAGTGTACAACTTACTTGACACTTTTTTTTTTTATGACTCCC